ACTCACGCTCGCCTTCTATGCCACTGGTATCCATCTACTGCCTTCCCAACCTTCATCGCTCCTAGCTCTCCGCGGACTTAACACGTTCGCGGCGGCGCCGTTTCGTCAAAAACTCCCGTTTGTCGAGCGACGCGTTTGCTGCGGGCGACATGTAGGCAGTCATCCCGTTCATGGTTGTGCGCTCGCGACGGAACCATAAACGCCTCAAAATTCACGAAAGCGGTTTTTCGCCATTCTTTTACCATTTTCCTCTTCTACAAGTTTTATCTTTCACATTTTCCCCTTCTAGAAATTTATCTGAGTTCCGATAAATGAACTAGCTTTCTTGCCTTTTTTGATGTTCACTTGTACCGCACAAAGGGCATGTAGACTTTGATTTTTGTGAATCTTAGTCCCTCTTGTAAAGACCACTACTGCATCACCTGGTTCCAAAAAAATACACGATAAATCTTCTCAGTATTACTTGTATATTATTTGTTTTATGATTTGTTCATAACTGCCAGTGATAGAAGAAAAAATCATTAAAAAGCGAGCGAAGAGGCGCGTGTACCCCCAAGAATGCCCGATCCGCTTAAAGAGGAAAGTTTTTGAGTATTTTCCCAGGTATACACGCCTCTTCTAATGTGTGGATATTACTTCTCTATTGTTTGATTATTATTTATGTCCAATTCTTAGTGGGGAAAAGAAACAAAAAACCAGATAGGCGCGTGTACTCCCGGGAGTACACGATTCGCCGAAAGCGGAGTTTTTTCGTGTACTCCGGGAAGTACACGCCGCCGCGAACGTCTTAATCCCCTGCCCAAGGAATGATAGGACCTGCCTTTGCATCCACCTGTGGGCTATCCATGCGGGGGATTCTTTGTTCAGGAGTCCCTCGAAGTATTCTTCCCACCTATCTCTGATTTCGACTTTTTCCTGATAATGCTATAGCAATGGTATGATAATACATTTCCGTATTTTTAGTCTTAGCAACGGCTGCCTTAGCGAGTCGCTTGCAGCTTTTGTAGTCAGCAAGTCTTCTGGGCTCCTTGTCTTTTGCCAGCGTTTATATGCTTCCTTCTTCTGTTTAACGATGCCCTGCACTTCCTCATTCCAGAATCACGCTGCCTTAGTTCCTCTGATCCCACCTCGCGGGGTGTGGAGCAATTGTTGGGCGGGCATACGGTAAGGTTACTGTAGAGTGGGCGGAGCCCCGCCGTGTATCGCCTGGCAGTTGCCTGCGGTGTGACCCCAGTTAATTGCCTAGGCTAGCTGACCTGCTGACCTCTCCTAGCAGCCTTTCAAAGACTGAGAGATAAACGGAATTCAATTGATTTGATACCTAGGGGAAACTATTTTACAAAAGCATGACCGTTCACACCTGAACAGGATACATAAATAAGGGGCAAAAACTGCATACAGCACACCTCACTAGCATGTTCCCAACGTCGTACTACACTTGCTCTTCCGTCTGCTTCTTCGATCTACATGAATGGTTTCTACGCGGCCTCGGCACCAACGAACGGTTTTTTCATCAACTCAGTGTAGTCAAGAGCAGGTGGAGCAGTTCTGCAGAAGGATGGCAAAATATGTCACCAATAAGACTAGATGATTTTTGAGACGTAAAAAGTTTTCTCTGATCCGTTTTATGTGCATTGTTTAAGAATTAATAATAATAATAATGTTAGTTGTTAACAATAACGATAATTATAATAATATTAAGACGTAATAAAGTGTTTCATTTAATCGTTCAACTCGATATTGTATTCGCATTAGAGCCCCTGAGGTCAGCAGTCGCCTTGCAACTTAATGAGGTCACCCTCCAGGCGAGATAGCAGTCGCCGCATGCAACTTAATGAGGTCACACCCCAGGCGATAATCAAAAGGGCGAGATAGGCTCCGCCCTATTCTACAGTAAACTTACCGTATACCCGCCCAACAATATCTGCATACCCCACCTCGCGTCTCTCCCAGGACTTCCTTTACACACTGTAGGATGATCTCTGCTGCTCTCGTCCAGGTCTCCTAGACTGGCCCGTGCGGATCTGTGAACCCACCCTCCAGTATTCTTCAGCTACCCTTTCCTACCTTGTGTATTTTTCACCATCCAACTCTCCGCTCAGTTTTTACCCTTGTTCTCTTGAGGAGATCTATGGGATGTCTGCAGGAGACGCCTGTGCTGTTAAACTATTCTCAAAACTATTCTCCCGCCTCGGGAAAATTCTCCACGTAGTATTAGGGCATCTCATATAAAAACGTGGAAATATACGAATAAAACGAAGACGAAGAAAGATAGAAAACTATTGTTTTGGTCTTCGGTGTGTCAGTGGTTCAGTTGACACCTCAAACTTGGGTAATTAAACTGTATTCGGTAAAATGATTACATATATAAAAGCAAGGGTAAAACACTGACAAGCGAGCTCGGCGAGCCCCTTTTATTCCGTCTAAGTGGGCGGAGCTCGCCGAGAAATGTTAAATGTAGGCATAGTAAGATCAATGTTTCTACAGCTAACCAGGGAGGTCGTTCAGGACGTGGCGCGCTTTTCGAAAACGGTTTTTTGCATTGTGTAGGGGCACGTTCATGGACTACCAAACTGACGTTCATTTTTCCTAAATGGCTCTTTGAATACCAAAAAAGGAGTGAAAAATAATAAGTGTATGGAAACCGATGAGTGTTGAGGCTCTACGGGCTCCACATTGCTTGCAACTTTGACCAGCTGTTGAGTAGACGGTCCTTATAAAGGCACTATAGGAATCGAGGAGGAAAACAGTTGCAAATGGGGTTTTACTTGCGCACGTGATTGAGAGTGAACGGCTTTGAGCGGCTCGTCGGAATGGTTTCTTCAACGATCGAAGCGCGTTCAGCTACAACGATCGGATGGCCTAGTGGATAGCGTGGAGGATTATCAATCGGTCAGTGAGGATGGGTGTTGATGTGATGGTTCGACTCCCCTAGGCGTGAGGGTTTTTGCATTTTTTTAGTTTCGCTATCCTCGCTTCCATGAATGTCTGTGCATGAGTATAACATGGATATTTGCCATCATGTGCAAATTCTTAACGGTAGTACCCCGTGAGTCGGTGTTATACTTCTATTGCAATTTTCTCTTACACACAGTTCGAGACCGCAAATTGCGGGAAACGGAGCTCAATTCGGCACAAGAGTGCTAAGTATCTGATGAGCGGAGAAAAGCAGCAGAAAAAGCACTCCGAAATGTTATAGAGAAAGATAACATAGTGGCTACTAGCTAGTAGTTAGCAGCCGGTGAGGGTCGGCATGGGCCTAAGGGGTTTCCATGGGCCTAACTAGTCAGCTTCTGGGGGAGTTCTTGCCGTTTTTCACATTTTGATACTGGCGCAGCCTCAAAAATCGCCTTCCGGATCGTCCGACACATTCGAGTGGTCATAGCCTTATTTTATCGCGGAATTTGCCTTTAAGAAAGGCTACCACTGAAAACTGGTTTCTATGTGGAGTGAGTGATATGATCACTAACATGGTACTTAATTTTAGTTGTGGTGCCATTTGTCTCCGATTTGGGTCAACATCAATCTCCCACTGTATTCACTGTGTACACCCATAAAAGGAACGTTTAGCACCACTCTGCCGTCAAATCGCGTCAGCGCCAGAAATAAGTGTCATCGCGAAGATTCGCTGAAAAAACTTTCGACCTTATTCGGTTAAGACGGACAATTTGGTCGACGATTATGACCGGAGTCTCATACCTTGCTAGCGGCGATGACGTAACGATGACGTAGCGCGCTGCCGGGCAGCCGTATCGCGCATTTGCTGCACCAAAGGTCCTTCCACGCAGCTATATGCTCGAGTACATATGGAATACGTAAACAACCATCGTGAACTTTTGTCGACCCCTAGCCACTGACGAAGGTGTCACTCTCCTCCAGCGATAGAACAGACTCATTCAACTTTCTCCACTTTCAAATGCACCTGGAGGATGACTGAATTTTTCTTTTTCCAACGGTGTTATCCTTGTTGTTAGTTTTATGTTTATTCATCAATGAATGGGAAGGTTTGAATAACAGGCAAAGCACGATTAATAGAAAGACTCGTGTGCACACTCCAATACACACCCAGTAAGGTCGAAAATTTTTTTGAGCGATTCTTCGTCTGTAGGGGTTATCGATGGTCCTGATCACGATTCTGACAATTATTTCTGGCGCTGACGCGATTTGACGGCAGAGCAGTGCTAAACGTGCCTTTTATGGGTGTACATAATGAATGCAGTGGGAGATTGATGTTGGTCCCAATCGGAGAGAAATGGTACCACAGCTAAAATTAAGTACCATGTTAATGATCATACCACTCACTTACACATAGAAACCAGTTTTTAGTGGTAGCCTTTCTTAGCTGTAAGAGAAAATTGTAATAGAAGTATAACACCGACTCACGGGGTACTACCGTTAAGAATTTGCCCATGAATGGCAAATATCCATGTTATACTCATGCACAGACATTTATCGAAGCGAGGATAGCGATACTAAAAAAATGCGAGAATTCACGCGCCTAGGGGAGTCGAACCATCAACACCCACCCTCACTGACCGATTGATAATCCTCCACGCTATCCACTAGGCCATCCGATCGTTGTAGCTGAACGCGCTTCGATCGTTGAAGAAACCATTCCGACGAGCCGCTCAAAGCCGTTCACTCTCAATCACGTGCGCAAGTGAAACACCATTTGCGACTATTTTCCTCCTCGATTCCTATAGTGCCCTTATAAGGACCCTCTACTCAGCAACTGGTCAAAGTTGCATATCATTTGGAGCCCAGAGGGGCTCAAAACCAATCGGTTTCTATTCAGTTCTTCTTCACTCCTTTTTTGGTATTCAAAGAGCCATTTAGGAAAAATGATCGTCAGTTTTGTAGTCCATGAACGTGCCCCTACACAATGCAAAAAACCGTTTTCGAAAAGCGCGCCACGTCCTGAACGACCTCCCTGGTAAGTTGCAATGTTATGACATTCCATGAGCGATCATCTTACGTTATGCAAGTTACAGAGCGTAGAGCTACGAAATAGAGATCACAGGATCCTCTATACTCCCGGCCAAGAAGATAGTCGCCTGCCATCGATCTGTTGAGCGCCTCAACCGCTTTCGTGGTGCCTGTTCCGCCGGTCTTCTCGAGCCGCTTCTTTCCCGACCTCTCTCTTCTCGAGCCCGAGCTCTCTCAAGTCGATGCTCCAGGTCCCGCATCTCTCGTTCAGCACGATCCTCCTTTGCTTGCATACGTGATCTCCTTTGCTTCAGATCATCTATCGCCCTCGCCAATCCAGTCTTTCCTTTACCTTCTCGCCTTTCTCTTTCGATAGAGTTGTTAACTTCGACCATCGACTCTCTGATTCCCTTCAGCTCGCGATTGGTTTCGTCAAATTGTCGCAATCCTCTCCAGTTCGGGAGAGGGCTCACCAGGGCGAGTGACTGCTGGTCTCTGTCGACTCCATTTCTGGGGTTCAGCTCTTCTATCTGTGTTTGCAGCTCGCCGATGCCTTCCAAGAGCTGGGACATATTCATTGCTTCCACCTTGGCTTTCAGGTCTCTAATGTTCTCTTAAAGGTCTTTCCACTGGGTAGGCGCGGATGATTGCTCCTGGACTTTCGGAATTGCTACGGTTTCCGTCACGAGCTTCTCTATCTGACTGATACGAGTCTCGATTGCTTCCGCAGTGGACACAATTTTCTCAATTTTGGCTTCAGTCAAAGCACCTACGCTTTGCTCCTGCTGAGCTTGTAGGAGCTTTTCGAGACGCCTTAGGTGTTTGATGGTTTCTTCAGATGAAGCGACAGTAACGGCTGGTGCTAGTTGATCGACTTTGCTGGCTGCTAGCTGCAATACTCGACTTCCCTGTTGTAGAAGCTCCTTCAATATCGTTCCAGACGCACGACCTTTTTTGGGAGGGAGAACATTTTCTTTTGACGACGAGGAAGACGATGATGAAGATGATGATGAAGTGCGCTTACGCTTGGTAGGGGGGGGGCACTTTTAGGAACGGCTGGCGCAACAGGTTTTGGTGGCGGATTCAGGCTCTTGGCCGGCTGTGTTGGTTTGGCTGGCGATGTCGGTTTGGGCACCGGTGATGCTTTAGCGATGACGTCCGTTCCCGTAGTGGCTGATGACGTCTTCTTGGCTTTGTCCATGACTGAAATATAGGAACTACATTATCCGAAGAACAATCGTGGTGATTTCATGCAACAGATCAAATCTGCCAATGTCGAGGAGGGCATCACAGGAGTTTCTCAGTGCCTTTCTTGTGTGTTCGGAAACATGCAAAAGCGATTTTCCATGCTGACCGCATGGTGAAGGTTGTGATGTACATGATTCCTCGTGCAGTCTTGAGTGTGATACGTGCAATTGAAAGCACGGTTTTGAGTCCGTACGTCCAAAGGAGCATATATCCCATCAAGAGTGCTAAGAGCAGGAAAATGCCTACGGCAAGGACAGTTTTATACCAATGCAGGAGTACATCAAATATGTGACCAAAGTCGGGTAAGCGGATCTCGTCGGAAATGTTGCTTCCTCCCGCTATAATCTGAGCTGCAGACCCATGTATGGTATGTACCCACTGAAATGCCAGTGATTTCGAAGGTAGCTCCCACATTACCGCAGGACACATTGCATCTTTGGCGAATCCTTGCCGATGTGTGACTGAAACGCAGTGTTGATTCTGCTCCTTTCCTGGTACATGGGATTGTGAAAAACCGGTCCTCACATTGAATTGTTGCCACAATATCATTTCCATATGTATGACAAATCACCTCTGCTGTTGCTCCCTGCGGGTAGAGGTAACATCCCTTGGCCACTGTGTTCGTAATCGTGCATATCGAGTTGGTTACCACTGTAATCGTATCGTCGAACTTGTCTCTTTGATGGAGGAGTAATTCTGCTGTGACAAACGTTTTAATTTCGGCTGTTACTGAAGTGTGGTCTTCTTTTGATGCTGTGAATGTAATCCACGGTCAGCGGACAGGAAATCGATTCTCGATCTCCTTTAAGAAAAAATCCGTGATGTTCAGATCGGAACAGATGCAACTGACAGTGGTTTCCGCTGGGTCGCAGTCACAGTTTGATGCTACTGTGCAGTTTATGAGTGAATTCGCGTCATCCCATGACTCGCAAAGGGGGTTCGGTAATTCTTTATGATTCCAGATGGCGAGTTGTGAACCGTCCGAGATGAACCGAGATGACAGTGCAGGGGTCAGTGGAACGGTGAGAGCAGTGATTGTGAGCCGCATGTTGCTCATGCTTATAGGCACAGTAGGTTGTACCAACACCGTTCTTTTGCGGACTGCAGACCTTGTTATGGTCGTGACTTCTAGTTCTACTTCCTCCTTCCATTGGGCGCATCCAAATATTTCGTAAACTTTCGCGTCTATTGGCATGTGGAAGATTCTGTTAAATAGACAGCCACTGCTCAGGTGAAAACATCCACATCCAGGCCCTCCACAACTTTCGATGCACTTCGTTATGCCGGGGTACTGGTTACCCTGTGTGAGTTCGGGAAGTAGGGACGACATGTTGATCGATGCACATTTATTACCGTTACACGATCCAGTATGAGCGCATCTTTTCGAGTCCACGACACGCTGAATGGTGTTCCGCGTGAAAACCACTTCTTCCTTTACACACTTCAGTCGAAGACCCTTCAACTGGAATCTTACCTCCTTTTGCGTCGTTTGATTCGTGAGTAGTCGTAGACACTCTTCCTGATTGTAACTGTTAAATTTCATAACTTCGGTGGTCTCCAAGCTACATCTCTTAGCTCCAGTTGGTGTATAGGAACAGACTGCACCACGATGTGAGAGTACGTCAATGTCCTGACAAGCCATTGTAAGGGCAGAAAGCGTTATCACAGAAAAGATAGCTAGGAGTGGCATCTTTAAGAACTCTTGTGCGTCATATCTCCGTCGTTGCCGTCAGTGAAATGGTATCTCGCAGCAGAGGAATCACAATAGCCGCCCAATGGATTTCATGACGCAGCATATCCCGTTACCGAAGATACGGCAAGGTTTACCTACTATCATGGGCACGTAGCAGAGCACGTACACGAGGGCAATGGACAAGTACAGGACAAATGCGAGTGCCGTGATGGCTGCTCTGGAGGAGCATTCCGGCTTCAGAATGTTCGCGGTGCAAATCCAACAGCGGATGTTTTCACAAAACGGCGTTGGGGGGCAAGAGGTTTCAAGAACAATGAGACTTTGCCCTTCGAAAAGCTTCAGCTGAACATGATGTTCGTGCAAGAGCACTTCTGGTGGGAAGTGAATCGTCTCATTGCCATGAGTGCTCTCTTTCATTTGGCAGTTCCCCTCAACGCAAAGTTCATAGCGCTCGACATTGTGGGCGATGACTGCAACGCCTCCTGGAACGCAGAGCATATGTCCAACTGAGGTGGGTGCAGAAGTAACACTTGCTGTCAGCATCAAAGCTGTTACACAAGTCAGCAAGAATGAAACAGGAAGCTTTCTTGGAACTATCGAATGGGCTGATGAGTGAACAGTGGTCATCTCGCTGTAGTTTACACGTCTACGTGGCCGAAGCTCATATCGTCATGTTGGTTCTCGATCTTCAGAAGAAATCCTGGGGTCCGGCTGCGGTGTGGAAGATGGAGATTCGTTCTCGGTGTCCTCCAACTCTAGTGGAACGAGAGCGTTAACCGGTCTCCTGACGATGTGTCCGCTGGGTAGCTTCAACTGTACTTCTCTGACTTTCTCATTGTTGGAGTCAGGTATGCCAATGATTCTTCCTAGCTTCCACGAATTCCTTCGAAGAGCAGGATCGGAGATGAGCACAACCTGGCCAAGTGATGGACGTATGGTAGAACCACGTTTATTGTCCGCACAGATCTTATGAGTTTCACGAAGGCTGCTGAGGGACTGCTGGCTCCATAAATTCCAGAATCGCTCTGTCAACTGATGGCTGGATTTTAGGGTTTCCTCAGCCTGCCTACGTATTAGTTGGATTTCTTCATTGGGTGGGAGATGAATGCTGTCTTCAGACTTTTCTCTTAGTGACTCGAACGGATACGTTACTACCATATCTCGTTGAATGAAATCGATTGGCCTGAGTACGGGAGTGTCTTCCCATCTCTCTTCTTGGTAAGTCAAAGGTCTACTACTGAGGGTTCCTTCCACTTCGGTTAAGAGCGTCTCCAGTGTTTCCACAGATACAACCTCACGCTGCATAACTTTGTACAGGGAATGCTTCACAGACTTGATCAAGCGTTCATAGAAGGCTCCTGCCACGGAGCGTACGGTGTGATTGTCTTCCATGCGATTCCCTTCGTTGCCAATGCAGTTGCAATTGTGACGTCATTCATCAGAGGAAGCACTGTCTCACGAAGTATTTGTTCGCCTAACAAAAACGATGTCCATGCACGGACGTGATGCTTGCTGGAATGCCCTTCGTGCGAAGAACCTGCGCAGTACGTTCAACAGCTGGCTTGCCGACATATCTGGGACCAGTTAGAGGCGCGTCGCCATACATGTGATGATGATTCTATACACTTTGATATGCAGGTCGTTGCGTTTGGCTGACAGCGGGCCAAAGTAGTCTATTCCTACGTGTTCGAAAGGACTGTTCGCTGCACACGCCTATTTGGTAGGTCGTCCATTTCAGGATATTTGAAGGGGAGATTGTTGAATTTCTGACACGGGACGCACATTCTTAAGACTTGCTTTGCCAGCTGTCTCACTTTCGGGATCCAAAAGCGCTGTCTGACGTTGGCAATAGTCTGTGCAGTGCTGCAATGGTATGGAAGATGTGCGTCTTTCACTATAGCTCTGGCGATATCCATATCCGTTTTCGAAGCAATGAGCATTGGATGTTTAGAATCGAAAGCCATGTGCGCGTTCCCAAGCCGTCCTTGGCATCGTAGGATTCCAAATTCATCACGCTGTATATTAAGCTGCTTCAAGACCTTTAGCTGTTGCTCAGTGAAGTGATGATTCTGGTGATGTCGAACAAGTACTCGTAGAGCCATGTCGTTTTCTTCAACGGTGATATACGGCCCTGTTGACATCTGAGCAAGTTCAGGGATGCTGGTTTCGAGGCGCTTCTTCAGGTCAACATTACGTTTTGCTATAGTCTCCTAATGAATCGCAGGACGTATGCCAACGTTATCTTTGCGGAAGTCAGATGATTATGACGAGTCCAGTCCAGAAGCTCCGATGAAGATTCTTTGGCTGTTGCCACTGAGCATGTTTGTTCGACTGGCAGGGCGAACATGCGACATTCCTTTGACCAATTTGCGCTATCTTTCAGAAGCTCAGGTCCATGCCACCATATGTGTCCTTCGAGTTCGACCTTTGTGACTCCTCTTGTTCCACAATCTGATGGGTTGATGGTAGTGTTTACATAGCCGAAAAGAACTGGTGTGCCGAATTCTTCGTTGAGCCCTGTTATTTCGGCAACTCTGTTTTGACTAGGACTCCTGTCGACTTGTTCATGTTTGGCGATTTGAGCCAACTAAGGGCTATTTCTGAATCGGACAATATGCACACCTGGTCAACCTTAACTCGATGACAGATCGCCGTGTGTATGGAGTATGCCAACCGTGTAGCCATGGTAAGAGCATTAAGTTCCAATCTTCGGGATAGTGGGGTTGTCCTTCAGAGGCGGAAGTTCCGATTTTCCAGCAATGAGATGAGTTCCGGTTTCCGAAACGAGGTACGCACAAGAGGCCATTCCGGCTGAACTAGCGCCTGCGAAGAGCACTAGGGTTACGTTTGTACCGATGTGCGCAACTTTCCGTGGGATTGAGATCTGAAACCCGTTAACGTCACGCACAATTTTTCGCCATCCTTCCTGGTGCTCTGAGGAGAGTGGTGTGTCCCAGTCGTACCCGAACTTCCATAGGTGCTGCAGAAATTGCTTTCCCCAGAATGTGAGAGGTACAAGCAGCCCCAGCGGATCGTATATCGATGCTACTTGCTCCGAAATAGATCTCTTTGTTATCACTTCCGACGTGTTCCGATAGTTACATGACAGGAGCAGTTCGTCAGTATCGGACTGCCACGGTATACCGAGAACTTTCTGAAGGATGTTGGAACTGAGGAACGGTGCTATGAGGCTTCCATTATTAGAGCGGAACTCCCGTAAATTCTTGTTGAGATCGCTGAACAGCTGTTTGGAAGCTGTGTAGAATGGCAGTGCCTCTTCCATGGAAGACGTGGAGACAATGATATTGTCTACGTAGGTGTTGTTCGTTATTACGTTCGCTAATTCCGAGTCGTTTGAACACGTTTCTAATTGATGTCTTATTGTACCCGCTAATAGGAAAGGTGAACAGCTCAACCCGAACGTCACCCTTGTGAACCTGTAGGTGATGGTGTTCGCGGGTGTGACCGGTTGAGTGATGTCCCGCAGCCAAAGGAATCTGGTGGCGTCTCTGTCTTCCGGATGCAAATGAACTTGCAAGAAGGCCTTCTCAACGTCACTCACTACAGCGACTTGACCAATTCGGAATCGGACTAAGATGTCGCAGATCTTTGGCAAGATGACGGTCCTTGATGAAGAACGTCATTAAGTGATGGTCCCTTTTAGATGAGCCGAAGCATCGAAAACAACTCTGAGTTTCGTGGTCTGTTTATGGGGTGTGAGGACTGCATGGTGGGCGAGGTAGTGAATTATTGGTCCCTTTTGACAGGTTTTTTCGTCGATTTCCTCAATGATTCCTTTATCACGTTGACCACAGATTGTATCGTGATACTGAAGTGTAGTGGGTTCTTTCTCCAGCTTGGATACTATAGCCTGTAGGCTTCGAACAGCGATTGCTTTATTGTCTGGAAGTCGTTTAGCGTCCTCTTTCCAGGGATCACGTAATATCCATCCTCTTTTTTCTCGATCGTTTGTTTGAATGTCTTCCATACCTCTTGATCCAATTTCTTGCGCTCTTCGACGGTAGGTCCTAGGAACTCGTGAACTCCTGTAGACTCGAAAGTACAAAATTGTTCCCAGGTTTGTGCGTCGCCCAGGCTGATGGTATTGGCTGTTAAGATTTCTGCCGCGTCGTGTGGCCGTTCTGCATTTTTCGCTTTTGAGGTCGTTTCATGTTCCGACACTAGATATCCTAGCTTGGATGGGATGAGTGTCAGTCCTGAAGGAAGGGTCTTCTGTTCCACAAACCCTCGTTCAAGAAAAGCGTAAAGGTGAGCACATCCAAGCAAGACTTGGGGTCGTACCTCCGTAATATCCGCGTATATGGATAAGCGAGTATTATTGTTGTATAGGAACCGCCTGTCGTCCTCGCTGAGACCACGTCTTGAAATTGGTTCCGTGACAGTATCGATCTCGGTAACCGTTAGTTCATGACACTTCCCGTAGATATCCCATATATGTAGTTGAGTGATTCCGCAAGTTTGTTGCAGAGGATGTTTGGAGCCGAATGTGTTGATGGCCAACTTTACGAAGCTGCTTTCTCGCAGTTGTAAGCGATCCGCCAGTTCCTTGCATATGAAAGATCGATCAGCTCCAGTGTCAAGTAGGACATGAACGGGTTCTAAGGTTTGGTCCTTTGAATTCAAGACATGTGCTTGTCCTAGGAGGATGTGGACATCACTATGCTTTGGAGGTTGACGAAGGCAGCTGCTTTCGGCACATTCTTCTGTTTGTTGTATATCGGATACCACTGTGTGCATCTTGGACGGGGTGGATGATTTTGGAACCGTACGCCTTGGAGTGGCCTTACTTGGCGTCGGTGATTTCTTGGGTTCGTGGGTGGTGGATGGTTTCCGTGATGATGAGAAGAGTTGCGGGCAAAGAGAGGTGTGGTGACCGTGTAATTTGCATAGTCTGCAAGACCCTCCTTTGCACTGTACAGCCCAGTGTTCTGTTGATCCGCAATTGAGGCACATATCAAGCCTACGCATGAATGCATATCGCTCTTCTCGAGTAACTACTTCGGTGCAGTCTTTTGCCGAATGGTCCTTTTTACTGCAGTAGAAGCAGGAGTATTGACGTTCCGAAGATGAAACAATTCTTCGCTTTGAGGGGGAGACTCCTCCTGTCCGCTGCTTGCTCATGGGCTGGTTGCGGATCACGGTTTTTCCCCACGCGCGCTACGATTTTAAGTTCCGTCCTAATATAATCCTTCGCGCAATTCAGCAGTGTGGTAGTGCCCGAATTATCGTTCTGGAGCGCTGTTCCTTCGCTCGCAGAACATTGCGCTGGAGCTTCCTCCGTGAATTTGCCCAGAAGTTGATCTTGCAAGAAAGATGTCAATGTTCTCCCCTTTTAGTTGGAGCCGCGACACAATGGATGACAACTCTTCCAAAGATTTCTCTTGGTCTCTAGACGTTCGCTCTGCCGCACGGGCTCTGTATAGTCGCGTATCAGTGTGATCGACTAGAGCCTGTGGATTCCCATATTTTTCTTTCAGGATGAGCGACGATAGGAGGTAATTTGTTCCAGAGATTTCAAGCTGTTTGAGCGATTTCTCTGGCTCGCTTGCAGAGCATCTAGTAGATAATTTATTTTGTATAGAATCATCAATTTCCGAGAATCACGAGATCTGCAAAGAAGTTTTTTGGTTGGATATCGTTCTGGAGCCGCTGTTCCTTCGCTCGCAGAAACAATTGCGCTGGATTCCCTCCGTGAATTTGCCCAGAAGTTGATTCTTGCAAGAAAGATGTCAATGTTTCCCCTTTTGAGTTGGAGCCGCGACACAATGGATGACAACTCTTCCAAAAGTTTCTCTGTGCTTCTAGACGTTCGCTCTGCGCACGGGCTCTGTATAGTCTGCGTATCAGGTGATCGACTAGAGCCTGTGGATTCCCATATTTTTCTTTCAGCATGAGCGACATAAGGGTAATTCGTCCAGAGATTTCAAGCTGTTTGACGGATTCTCTGGCCTCGCTTGCAGAGCATCTAGTAGATAATTTATTTTGTATAGATCATCAATTTCCGAGAATCCACGGAGTGATGAACAGGCTCTCGCCAGGAGGTGTCCCATTCTCATATGCGTCCGCTGAACTTTGGTATGGGAATCGGCGCCAACTTCATCTGAGGTGCTTCTGTAGAAGCCGCATAGTCGTTCCGGTTCAAGGGTCCCTCAATCTCCTCAAGCTCTGCTAAGAGATGGGCCAAATTGGTGAGCATGGCGCGCCCGTTGTCCAAAATATTTGAAGCCGTCTCGACATTGGAATTGACCTTCCTGAGGATTTCGTCCAGGGCTGGGGTGTCAGCTTCTAGGCTGTCGGCTACCGTGGTATAACGCTCCAGAGCGTTGTCGACGTTGAATATTTCGGATTCCAGAATGACCTTCGTCTTTCGAATCCTTGACCGTTCCGTTTTTACATATGTTTTCCGTTCATGATCCTCGGCTGGAGGCTGCAGAGTCCTGTTGCCCAGTCCCCATTGTTCTCTAGTGTGGCAGCGAGTCGCTTAACCGCTTTCGTCAAGAGCCCCTGCTTAGTGGACAGTGTAGTAGTCATGCTTGTGCTGTTAGTGAAGCGTTGAAGCAATCCGTGTTAATCTGAGACGCGGACAATCGGCATGCACGGACAGGACAGGGTGGAAGACTGTGATACTACTCACTTCCTTTGCTCCAGTCAATCTGTCACGAGTTGGGTGTCGAGCGGCCGGATCCAGTCTCCTTGTTAACTGTTTCTCGATCGCTCCTCGATAACGGTTCTCGACTAGTCTTTGGCAACGGTCCTCGATCGGTCCTTGGCAACGGTCCTCGATCGGTCCTTGGCAACGGTCCTCGATCGCTTTCCTGCAACAGTCCTTGATCGTTTAGGCACGATGCACCATGTGTCAGTGGTTCAGTTGACAGCTCAAACTTAGGTAATTAAAGCGTATTCGGTAAAATGATTACATATATAAAAGCAAGGGTAAAACACTGACAAGCGAGCTCGGCGAGCCCCTTTTATTCCGTCTAAGTGGGCGGAGCTCGCCGAGAGATGTTAGATGTAAGCATGATAAGCTCAATGTTTCTACAGCTAAGTTGCAATGTTATGACATTCCATGAGCGATCATCCTACTGATAACGTTATGCAAGTTACAGAGAGTAGAGCTACGAAATAGAGATCACAGGATCCTCTACATTGGGATAGTAGATCTCGCTTCCAAGCATGGCTCGTTTCCAGCGCTCAGGAGGGGGGGGGGGTGGGTTGAACCCCTAGCAACTTCGTTTCTTTTCAACGAACATGAATAAAATACTGCTGTTGCCCAGTTCGGCGATAGAAAAATCGTCGTAGCGTTTGCCGGTGAACAGTACCTTTAATTCAAGAGAACAGTTGAAATCGCACGGCTTTAGGTCGAACTGATAAAGTAGGACTGAACTCACGTCTCCTTATTGTGCCCGATAATACGGCCAGCTGGGCTCTGGCATTGTGATGAGCACTTGTGATCTCCTTATATTTGTTCACTACCATCCATTTGTCGATCTGGCCCTCGAGAGACAGGCAATAGAAACCGACAGAGACGGCTTTGTACTTTGGATAGAGCAGCTCAGAAGCAGAGATTTATTGTCATGATGATTATCTGTTTGAGCACACGTAATTGCTCATGGCAGATTTCGGGCTCCTTTTCATTTCCATGCATTCGAAGCCGACGTTTGTATGTTTCGGCTCGGTGTACACGACTACTCATATTTATGGGGGACTGGCTGCGCTCTCAAGGCAGCGTTCATACTTCGCGACAGCAGCGGCGATCGCAGCGACCTCGGCGATCGCCGCGATCGTCGGTACATGGAACAGCGCGCCCTAACGTTATTACTTAGACCACTCTGAAGGCTTTTAGGAAGAAGCGACTCAATTCATGCTTTTTTCCTTTAACTGCAATTTTCTTAGGTAGTGAAGCTTGCTATAACACTAAGAAAGGTGAACCCATCCTAATGGCTTCTGTTTTCTGTTTTCTTTCTTGCGTGAGAGCTTCATTTAGGGAAGGTTTTATTTGTTTTTTTTTCATTCATCGGGCTTATACATGAGGTTATGAAGTTTTCACCTCCTGATGTTGCGTAAAATGTTTAGTGTTTTGGTTCCTATGTGAGTTTCTTTCTGTTTCTTTTTTTTTCTTCGTTGTTTGAACCCGACTTGTAAGATATAAATGTTTTGGAAGTTGGAACAGTTCAGACGATAGGAACTTTTAAGGCGCTCGTATAAATTGAAACAATAAAAACAAAAGAAACAAAAAGAAGCTCACCCAGGAAATGGAGTTGGCCTTATCCCGACCTTAAAATAAGTGCAATTTCCTTACCTCATATTCCAGATCCGCTCATGTATAGAAAGTCGTAAGTTATCAGTTAGTAGCCATTATTAAGAGAAAAGGTCTCACAAGTTGGATTTCCTTATTTATCAAGTGAGTGGTCCATATTAGCCTTGGGGGGCGCTCTGCCACGTACCGAATCGGGGCGATCGCCGCTGCTGTCGCGAAGTATAAACGCTGCCTCACAGGCTCCTACAAAGAGGCAAGGTCAAAGAAATACCCTTTTCATCATTCCTTTTCGGGCGTAAATCGGTCAACAATAGGTGCAGGAATGTCGGTCTCGCGGTCAGGGTACAGCATCGTTGTGCGAAACCCATAGGGGGGGGCGTACTTGGCCGCTGGGTAGGGGGTCGTAATCTCAAGGGTCACTCAGCGCCGGGCAATGCTTTGACATTTCGGTTGATAGTGGGCGTGGAGCTATGGAAGCCAAGATGTTCAAAAAAATGAAAATCATTATGAGTCTTTACATATTTGACTGCTCCATTTAACAGCCCCCTTTTCATGCGAAATCCCCAACACGGGATCGCACTTGGCCGCGGGGGACGGGGGGAGTATCGCAAAAGTAGGTGCTCGCTAAGCATCAAACAGTACAAAAGTGTCATTGCGGTTTGATGGGACGGAAGGAAAGCTGCAGAAGACCCGGATGTAAGGAAAACTACGAAATGAATAAATTGGGTTAGCAATATAGCAAGAATAGCAAGAATAAATAAGTAAATGAATACCAATTAATAGCGTGAACTCGGGAGTACGTAGAGACTAAGTTATACGTCTCAAACAGATTCGTGCATATTGTCCTTTCCAAACCCTAAGCAAACATCTGCTTGCATGGACAAAAGAACCTGATCAGAATTCACACCTTTCCACTACCTGTGCGTAGGAGCGTAATGCACGGCGCACACTCGGACCAAATCGATTAGTTATAACCGAGCTCCTCTTTGAGTCATTTCAAGAAAAATATGTGTTTTGAAGGCACACTAAAGTTTCCGGAGGTGTGTCCTGACAATGGCATACAGGGAGTCGAACTTTTGGGTAGCTCAGAGGGTAGCTTTTGCTAACCCATCTGAAATATCTCCTGATCTAGCGGGTCTTCAGGAAAACTGTAAAGGCTTGTTGGAAAGGGAAAGGTTAGGGCGCTCTGAAGGCGGTTTTGGTTCTGATGAAATTGCGTTCAAATCAAGTAATCCTCGTGTGGAGCATAAAGCCCCGCTAGCGATTTACCCCTAGACCATCCGAAACCCATCCGAAATATTTCACGAACGGGGATACATTTAGATGCAACTAGGTAGAAAACGCAACAGTAGGAACATCCCCTTGCATGCTGCTAACCATTCATCAAAAGCTGCGCATCTGAAAGTGATATAACCCCCCGAAAAGACCCCAGGACGTTGGCAGGCCCAACAACCGCGCTCCAATGATGTTTTTCCAATGAAAGCGGTCGCAACGTTGCGATCGATAACAGCCGAGTATAGATCGATGTACTGCCGCCTGGTTATCCATTCTTTCATCTATTTCTTGTATTTTTTTGGGTTTTTCATATTTCGCTTTGTTGTGTCGTATGCTTCCATGATTTCCCCGTCACCATTCATTGAATGCACATCTGGGGCCTGACACACTGCCTTGGGGCTGTTTTTTTCACCAATGTAGCTTATCAATGATCACCATTAGTCGCTGTTTTGATTGTGTTCCTTGTTGCAAGTTGCATGTCATACATGGTTGTCGAAGGACAAGTTTTATTTTGAATCCTAAGACAAAATCGTAGGCAACGCGAGGCTGTTGTTCAGCCTCGTATTGCATGAGGCTGAAACAGCCTCTTACTGCTTGAATTACAGTCCGCCTTTCGAAAGTCCGGATTCCATTTGAGGAGCCATTTCGTGTGAACATGCATCTGGTTGTCAGTTAGAGCGGGAGGGGAGGGGGTCGTCACTGGACCCTCTTCGAGGGGTGGGGGGGGGGGGCGGGGAGGTTAGGTCGTACTCACACCGCCATTTCGCCCATATCCATGCTGTGCCCTGTGAACATGGGGCCTCCCTCGGCCACAACTTTTTCGTTCTTCCTTCTTTGGACTACTGAACCGATCCATTCACATGCTGTTTCAAGAACACCATTATTCGTAACTATTGGTCTAACACAGATAAATTTTGGCAACCCACTTTCTTTATTATGACGCCCGATTCGGAATCCAGCGCTGATTTTGACACTAGCGTTTTTTCATTTTCTCCAGTTTTTCTTTTGTGGGTATGTCGACGTACGTGCATAGGTAAGTAGCTAGAGGTACCACCTCCCAATAAATACGGAGACCCTTGGCCATAGCCCCACTGCTTCTTGAGATGATCTAATAGCTGCTCTATTTCTGCAGGAGTCTTTCTCATGTGCCTCATCCTCGCTCTTCCACCTCCGTGCCCATCCTTCGGCATTTGCAGTGTTTCGCGTAGCCTGCAGGAAGAACCTGAGGACTAAAACATTTGCCTTAACAATCGCTCGTTTGTTAGCGATTCATATTTCCATAGTTTCTTGCAATCGGCTAATATTGATGGTTACGTCGGATTCTTGATAGATTGTACTGTAAACCTGAAGAAGGGCTCGGGCCCGAAGCGTCGTCAGTAAAACCTTGAAGTGTCATCGAATAAGAAAACGCGAATATTATCCATTGAAAGGTAAAAAAAAACCCCGTTTGTCTAAAATTTCCCGCGTCCTACTGACACTGAGAAGCCATCATGCAAGCTCATTGAAAGCTGTAGTACTATATTTCGAATATAGCCTGCGCATATAATATGAATCGCTCTTACCGCGCTGCCAAAGATGGTTTCTGAATGGTGATAAAGCCTTCCAAAAATACTATGTGAATGCGACGGCCAGCGATAAGTGCAACGCAGCCAGCCCAGCACGCCGAATGCCTCGACTTCTTTTTCGAACTTTAGCGTTCTCTTCACTAACGCATTGCACGCTATTGACTTTGCAAGCGACCTTTTGATGTAGTATTATTACAAAAGTCCATTGCAATGCTTGCTCTTTTCTCAACTTGCTTCTTCTATTCTGTTCTATTGACACATTTTCATTGCGATTTTCATTTTGCGTTTTTTCTGCTATGGACTTCCTTCTTGAACAGCCGTATAGGGAAGTAGGAGTGTGTTGGTCGTACCAACCCCAGCTTTCCGCTTCGTTACGCTTGACCATGCTGTGAAGCCCCCGTGCACACGAGCGCGCGTAAGTATAGACCTAATGCGGATCGTACTGTACCCAGTTTTCAAGCAGTATGTGGGGCAGTGTGCACCACTCCACCTCGTGAATATGTAACCCTTTTAGACCTTCGGCGCTCTCACAATCACGCTTATTGACTCTGAAAACCGAATTTAGAATCGACACGTTTTTTTTCAGAAACACCAAATTCCATATCTCGACGACGTGAATGACTATGGAATCACCTACGTGGTTACAGCAGTAATGATGCTCCGCTAAACACACGTGTATATGAACTCGAAACACTAGTTTGAATCTTTATAAAAAAAATGCTAGCATCTTCCACCTCATGCACAATAAATACTACACAATACATAACCTCGAAGGACTAAAAGGCAATTCCCGTGATTAGCTATTTTGGATAGTAGGTGTTCAGGTATAAGTCAGTAATCGATAAGAGACTGCTCAGTGAAGAAAAGCGTAACTTCAAGAAGACGAACAGAACCTCTCCTCGAGTCATACAGGCTCATTGCACGAGTTTTGCAAACTTGCTCGCAACTCGACACCCTGTCGTCTCTGTGCGGTCCCTAATTCACAATATATCCTTGCATTTTCCAGAACTAAATGTCATCTAAAACTATAAAAAACAAAAACAGTGAAACAAACAAAAGCTTCCTCTGTGCATGAAATCAGATGCAGGAGGCAATGCACAACGAGCCTTTGGACCGTTACGATTGCATCACTGCTGAATTTGAAGACACATAGTACGCTCACACATATTGAGGGTGTATGTGACTAGCAGCCCCCCTGCTGTCGAAGCATAGTGGTTTTCCCGTTCAAACATGCGCAGGAATCGAGATACAGGACCGTGAAACACGCTAAATCGTCCATGCTCCGCCCAATGTCTTTTTGCGGCGCAGATTCTCGACCTTCATAACATCCGTCGTAAGCGCGCGTGTCGCGTGCGGCTCCTTGGCACTTTGCCAAGCCCTTTCATTGCGCTTTAAAATACAAGTAAAACGCAATTTCCTGATGCGGATAACATTGGAGGTGCTGCAAAATAAGAATAGAAGATGAGGACGAGGGTCAGAACTTAAAAGCAACTGTGCCACTTCTGCAACATACCTCAGAGGCCGCGTATTTCCACGAAACATGAAAATAAAAACGGCATACTCGTTCGTTTAATACAACGAGAAACGCAAAACGCAATTTCCTGATGAGAATAAAATTTTAGGTGTTGCTCATGCTTCAAAATCCATGTACAAGGAGATCAAGATGACACAGGCTAGAAATGAAGCACAACGATATAAATGTAAACAAAACAAAAATGAAAAAATCAAGGAAAGGCAAATTAGATAAATTGGCCTGTAAATTTCTACGATCCGGCGCGAATCCGGCGCCAAGCCCACAGAAATACTTAGAACAAACGAGTGGGACGCTTAGGCTGCTTTTATTCTCATGTCTTGTGGGAATGCGCGGCCTCTGATGGATACTGCAGATGCAGCCGAGTAGCTCTTGAGTTCTGGCCCTCGTCATCATGTTCGTTCTTATTTTGTAGCACCACCAATGTTATCTGCATCAGGAATTCGCGTTTTACTTGTATTGCGTTTTACTTGTATTTGAGAGCGCAATTAAAGGACCTGGCAAAGTGCCAAGGAGCCGCAAGCGACACGCGCGCTTACGACGGATGTTATGAAGGACGGGAATCTGCGCCGCAAAAGGTATAAGGCGGAACATGGAGGAATTAGCGTGTTTCACGGTCCTGTATCTCCATTCCTGGGCATGTTTGGGCGGAGGGACCACGACACATCGACAGCTGGGGGACTGATAATCTCATACACCCTCAACATGTTTCAGCGTACCATGTGTCTTTAAGCGGCATTCAAACGCTCTCAAGCAGCCTTAAACAGTAAACTGCTATAGAACTTTTGCTTTCAAAGAAGTAACCAGAGGAAGCAGAACAATTTGTGAGCTTGCAAAAAGTCGACAAGCTGAGATTCTCTGAGCTGAGCATACGAAATCGTCTTGCGACATCACAGGCAACAGAATTCGTATACGTATTTATTGTGTAAGTCGTTGTTTTGCCCAGGGGCTACGCGTTTGTGTGTGCTTCATGTCGCCCTTTCGAGTGTCAAAAAAGGTACACTCTATGCGAGTGCGGACTTGTGTGCTAAATGTACGGTGGCATTTCGCCAATAACTTGACCGCGGGAACTGCCTTTAATAGCAGAGAGTGACATACAAGCAAACAGCTTGAAATTAGGCGGAACGGACTGCAGCAAGACAATGGGTCGAAAAACGAGAATAAATCCCAACCATACTAAGAAGAAGTAGATTTGGATACTACCATAAGAACCAATCTTTTATAGTCAGCCACCTGTAGCTCCAAAGAGTTAAGGAGTGTTCTCAATTCAATATTACGTCGTTCTAGCGTTTCCCTCTCAAGCCGCATCTCTCGCATTTTCTCGGCTCGCTTCTGGCGGGAGCGCTGTGATGCAAGATTGTTTTTGTCGCGTCTTATTCTGTATTCACTCGAGGCACGTGCAGCTGCTCGGTCGACCGGAAACGATGAATCGCTTGACACCAGGAAAGTAGCGGTACCTTAAAATGACACTAAAACAGGCGGCTCCACAACTGAACTCATGTACCACAAACACTTGGTACTGTGTGTGGTACCAATAAAATCAGTGTTTCTCATTACAAAACAACAACCGCATTGTTTGTACAATAAACACTGAAAAAGAAACTTTGTGAGTCTCCCTGGTACTGGTGGCAATTCAGGCACGACTGCGATAGGTGGAAAACCTAAGTCAACAGTTGGGGGATTTTTTTGGGGAATTCTCCTCAACTGTGGTCGACAAGAAATAACACAGTAGACAAGGAAGTAATAGAACAGGAGATGTGTTTAATTGGGTAGGGTATTGTTTTTTTTCTAATGGCAACTGCGATAAACTTGTCTGTCACCAAAAGCATGTATAGGCAAGGTACAGCATCGTTCAGTGAAACACATAGGGGAGGGGGCTCGTACTTTTTCTCTGGGGAGGGGGAGATGTATGTGCTTTCTGTATTCTACAGAATGAACCTCACTTGTTTGCCTCTACCATGATATCAATGTTGTTCACCATTTGTACCTTCACTTCCTCCCAGCTAGGAGTATGGTTCAGTTTGTTGTGACGCGGTTCGATGATTAAACATTCGACGACGAAACCCTCGACCGGCAGAAGCAGGATGGAAGGAGTAGGAACAAGTGGCGACCACGGCAACCAAGTTACGGACTAAGAACAGAAGATGTATGCTCCAACAGACAACTCAACATTGAACTTCGTCGACGCTTCTATTCTCAGTAAGTTGGGGCTTCCACATTCGATGGCAACATTCTCGACTATCCGGAATTTTCCGCGAGGTTCTCGACGTTGGTAGGAATCAAAACCCAACTTGATGACACGACAAAAGTTTCTCTCCTCAAATCTTGTCTTCGCGGTCGTGCTCTGCAATCCATTCAAAGTCTGTCCATGACACCGTGGAACTAAAATAGCCCTGGATATCCTAGCAACTCACTACGATCAGGGTTACCATAAAACACATCCTCTCCACAAAGTTGTCCCAGTTACCCAATTGCGACCCAGAAGGACGCAACCTACAGACTTTATATGTACAATCAAATGTTCGCATTGGTTCGAAAGTTCACCGACGGACAGGACGATTCTTCTGAAACAGGTTTGGGAGCGATTCTCCTCAACAAGCTACCTGCCAGAGTAAGAAGCCAAATCTACGACAAGACCTCTGATTGTCATAATCTCTCACCAAGTGAACTGCTTCACTTGCTTACTGACATAGTACGCAAGGAAGCTACACTCTTCGAAATAGACTACTATGCTCGCCCAAACCATTATACCCCTTACTACTCTTCTACCGACGGATTTCAAGCCGTACCACGATCAGTACCCCAAATATCACCCACAGAGCGATGTCAAGGACAAAGATGTGCCCTTATTGTCAAAACCCTAACCACCGTTCGTTCACGTGTGATGCGTTCCCAACAGCAAATGAGCGGAGCCGTCAAGCTAAACGGTTGCACTCTTGCTACAACTGTTTGTCAAGTCAACACACACTTAGCGACTGTGGCTCCAAACAGTCCTGCAAGTTTTGCGCAAGACGCCACCACTCTTCCTTATGCTCCGCTCAGTCAAGTTACGAAGGAGAACGTTCAAAAGGAAGAACCCTATCTCATCAGGGAATACCTCACCTGACTGAAACCCACCAACATAATGTAGCTACAGTAACAAATAAGACCGACCATTCCTGCCATTCAGCAAAGAGTGACACAATCCATATCAGCCTCACACCGACAACAACAAAAAGACTGCCTACACAAGCGAAGCTGATGTGCACTCCAGTACGCTTGTTCAACCCATCAAGCACCTCGTGAGCTACGATCGTGACAGCATTCTTTGACTCAGGTTCCAGTGAATCGTACATCACAGATGACGTAGTGGAGAAAATGGGTTTTCCAAATCTATCATCGGAGCATATATCAGTATCAACTTTCGGTACAACTGCTCCTCTACAACTCCAATCCCGCAACCACATCATCGGCATCAGCACAGAGGAAGGAGATAGAAAACTTCATGTGAAATCGCTGCCCACTCTAACTGCACAATTGAGACACGCGCATACAGTTCCTGATTCGCAGAGTGATGATGTCACAATATCCTCGTGCAGACCTTCTATATTGATCGGCAACGACTACTTCTGGGATATGGCGCTCTCAGATGACTTCTACTACGAAATACTCACAAATGGCTACCGTTTGCTTCATAGAACCCTGGGCAACATTGTTGTTGGGAAAACTCTCCACATCAGGAATATACCGACTCACACCACCCTTGGTAATGTTGTTGTTGGAAAAGCCTTCAACCTCGAAACAGTAACCACCCACACCACCCCTCGCGCAAACGACAAGCGCTCCAAACCAATGCACCAAGACGACCTGTCCAACCTTGTCCACAATTTATGGAAATCGGATGAAGATGAAATAACTGACGATTCAGCTCAGGATGATGATGATGATGATGATGATGCTTATCTTCAAGTCTTCAATAACACTAGATCCAATCCATCTCGTTCGCCCGACAACTTTCCTAGATCAACTGATAAAAAGGCCACTCCTACGAAGAAGAAAGGTTTGCTAATGAAACCTTCTCAAGCTCAAGAAATGAATCAGCCAGGAAACCTGCCACACCAATCCATACAAGACCTATCGCTGAGCTTCTCATGAATCCAAAAGCGAGAAGTCCGATTAAGAAACGCGAACCACCGTCAGAAAGTGAAAACCCGGTAAGGAGTCTCCCCACCAAGTTAAGGAGTGAAAGTTGCATCCCAAAGTTAGAGAACGAACAAAAACTCGAAACCACATCAACAATGGAGACGAAGAAGGAAACTACCTTACGAAACCACTAACTAAATCAAAGGTCATCGTATCCCCAAAGAATCATACGTTGAAGCCAAAAGGACAGAACCGAATACGAAGTCCTCTACCTTATCGATGAACAAAGTTCATGTGAAGCGTCCGAAGAAGCCGAAAAGCGAACACTCTGCTGTGAAATCTCCTGCTCGATCAAAGAAGCACTGCTCCATCACTCCAGACACCGTCTCCATCAAGCCATGCACGCGGAAACAAGGAGTTTCAGTCACGCAACAGACACGAAATCGAAATCGCGACACCACCGCTATTACCAAGAAGACCGATAACGAAGTCAACGATCTCCATGTAAAAGCCTAGTGATAATTTGTATTGCAACTGTCCAGCTTTCTATCTCGCTATTTTTTCTTGTCCTGCTGGGAGTTTCTGTATTCCACAGAATGAACCTCACTTGTTTGCCTCTACCATGATATCAATGTTGTTCACCATTTGTACCTTCACTTCCTCCCAGCTAGGAGTATGGTTCAGTTTGTTGTGACGCGGTTCGATGAATAAACATCCGACAACGAAACCCTCGACCGGCAGAAGCAAGGAATGGAAGGAGTAGGAACATGTGCCTTTGCAAGAAATTCGTCGCGTTGGTCCCAGTTGTTGACTTTTTGCGTGATTTTTCCTTTTCCTGTTTTTCCTGCACTATATACCCCTCCCCCGCATCAGCAAAATTTTAGGGAAAAAGTAGGAAAATTTTCGGGAAATTCGGAAAGTGATAGGAAGTTGGGGAAATTCTCCCGTTCACACTGGCTATACACCCCCCGCTACCCCGCTCGACGGAAAATTCTTGGGTGAGAAACTAAAATGGCGGAAATTTGTAGGTGGGTGTTGGGGTGGAAGGGGGCAAGTCATATTGATACCCTCTCTCGGAAGGGGGGGGGGGTCGCACCTACACCACCACATCACACATCACGATGCTGTACCCTGTCTATAGGGCATGGCTAATGCCGTTTGGACTCCAGAACTCTCGTCTTCGAGCTTATTTTAAAAGTGACAAGATCACCAAATCAGCTAAAAACTTGTATATAGGGGTAATTCAACATCCTGATCACGAATATGACATTCATTTTTGGCGCTGGCGCTAACGGATGACACTAAGATTACCTGCGCTCTGCTAAGGCTGAGCCCAGGAAGTAATCGTATGTCTCTCTGTCCTCTCTTGGCGCCAGCGCCAAGAATGAGTGTCATACTCGTAATCAGGATGTTGAATTACCCTCATATACAAGTTTTTAGTGGATCTGGTGACTTAGGCAATTTAGAAATGAGCTCGAAAACGAAATTTCTAGAGTCCAAACGGCATTAGCCACAGGGCATTACTTATTCATATTTCACCACATTACAGAATAAAAACAAGCGGACGTCATACGAAAACAAGGATTTATGGAGGTCCGACATCATGTGACGATTCCCGTTATATTCGAGTATATAATCGAAAAATCCAAGCGAAGTTTCAATGTATTGATTGCTCTTCTCGTTTAGTGTTAAGGACCTGAGATAAGCATTTTCCTTAGAAAGGGTGAAGCTGCCGCCCGCTGCTTCCAAGAGAAAATTCAATTTTTAAGAAAGAACTCACCACTAGAACAGTTGCGACGTCGAGTATTTTCTTCAGTGCTCACAACGAGATTCGGAAAAAACTCCTTGACAGCATCTGTGTCCTGAGACGACGAATAATCGCAGGAATTAGAATAATCTCCACTTCTGGAGGATGGCTGTGGTACTGTAAGGTCGGTAGCATTGCTGATGCAGGGGGTGCCATGGAGATATGCGTCCAGTGTGCTGATGTCGCAGTCAAATGCAGAGTCTATATCGTTAAATTCAACGGGATAGTTGTCGCTCGGAGAGCAGATCGCATAAATATCGTGGGAATATGGAGGAGTCTCTGATCTGTTGAAGTCTTTGTGCGACCGGTTCACAATATCAAACTGCAGGTTATGATACGGATCACAGTCTGGCGCCACATTGTCTGAAAATTGCTACTTTTTAAGTGGAACGTATGTGAAGCAACAATAGCAAACGTCTTTGCAGTGTTACTCATCAATCAGCAGCGAGGATCCTTTCAAGGGGAAGACCCAGGTCACAGTGGTCATTAGTGATGAAACCTACACATGCCTTCAAATGCTTTTTTTTAACGGTCATCTCAAATCTGCTTTCGAAGTTTGTCAAGTTTTCCCTGAATAAAGTTACGCAGGCGCTTTCCCTCACGCTGCTCTACATGTCAGCATCTGGAGACGTGCCTATATCGGTGGGTGGAGAAGCTCTGTCGTGGCGTCAGGGAACAATGTAGCGTCTCTGCATCACAGGCAAGAGATCTGTTTTTCAAAAGACTTCTAGGAAAGCTTTCAGCATTGCTATAACGTCAGTGTTTTCCCAGCTAGGCCTGTGCAAGTGATTTGCGGGCAATTCCCAAGATGCTGAACGCGCTGGTTCCTAAAAACCTTCACCATACCGTGTCGGCGCTCATAACGCACTCCCCAAAAGTTTTTGCGCACGGTGAGTGCCAAAGCGTGCAGGAACTCAAACTATCCAAAAGCATTTCTTGTCAAGTTAAGAATTTTGCCTAACTTCGAGAAGTGGTTGAACGGCCGATGAAATCCCACGACCCTCCGACTCAAACATCACCCAGGTGACCATCGGCGACCGGTCTTTGGGTGGAATTCGGTTATTCTTATCAGGAAACATTTGTATTGTGTAACTTGAAATTCTAGGGATGACTGAATTGCAGGGTCATGGCCGCGGGCACTCCACCTCCCAACGGTGCTCCTCCACAACATCACAGTCCAAGTGACTGTGTGGGTGCCGCTCAGTATGAATACTGCCGTTGCAGAGTGCACCGACAGAAAGTGAAGCGCCCCTGGCCATGATCGCGCAATCGACAGTATTCGATTTTTTCGCGTTTTAGTCGCTCGAGCGATTGGTCGCGCGATCGAAACAATTTTGGGCACTCCAACGTCAAATGGTGTACCGCCACAACGGCAGAATTCAATGTGCACTATGTGACGCGGCCCGGAATTCTGCCGTTGCGGCGATACAGGATCTGGGCGCTCGTGATCGTGATCGCGCGATCGAAACTACTAAATCGTGAACTGTGAATACGGGCTAAGACTTCCTTCTGGCACAAAAACGTTTTGTTGTGTGAGGGCCTCGGCAATCCTTCGTAAAACAACGCGCAAGTTTGAGCAGATTTAGAAAGCAGATATGAAAACAGCGCTAGAAGTGTAGTCTCAAAACAAATGGCGACATCAAATGGGAACCTTCCTTCACTTGCCCGAAGTTTGGGATTTGTACAGTGCTTACACCACGGAAGCGCCCGATATGTGCACCATAAGGGGTGAACGAGCGATGTACACTGTAGTTCGCTGCGGACAGTTGAGCGTGTCAGGCAGTAGTGTGCCACCCCATCAAAGCCGTTCTCTCAAAAACGCAGAGGAAAAACTCTGGGAAGGAAAAAGGAATTTTATCAACACGGTGTCTGAATTTGTGATTACGGTAGGCGCACCTTTTGTGCGTCGTGGTTTCGCATCACGAAAATTGCGTCACTCGTGTTTTTTACGCGTTTCACCTCGCGAAATGAATTGAATTAAATGTATATAACTCCAATGAGTAAACTGTAATGAAGGAGAGCAGAATTATCTAGAGGCATTAGCAATGCCTGCCGCCCCAACTAAGAACAAGTGAGTGGCCTCCGTCGGAGGACATCTAGCAAGTAAAGGCGGACCGACTGAGGAGGAGTTAGAACTAGCACTTTGAGCGGCTATAGCAGCCTCCACGCTCACAATAGAGTCGCGAAAGGTGAACAGTCTTCTAGCTTGGAGGCTAGACTACTTGCACAGCAAAGGCGACCACGAGCCACTTTGATCGCGGGGGCTGTCTTTAAGTCACGGTCATTCGGTATGACTTGTCTGACGGGTCTAACACATGAGGCACCCGTCACAAAAAGTTTTCCCAACAGCCGAGAAGGTGGAGAAGCATGGCAGTTATCAGTTAGGTGGAGCCTAGAGAGGTTGCCAACTTACTGGTTGGATAGAGTCGCGAAAGGTGAACAGTCTTCTAGCTTGGAGGCTAGACTACTTGCACAGCAAAGGCGACCACGAGCCACTTTGATCGCGGGGGCTGTCTTTAAGTCACGGTCATTCGGTATGACTTGTCTGGCGGGTCTAACACATGAGGCACCCGTCACAAAAAGTTTTCCCAACAGCCGAGAAGGTGGAGAAGCATGGCAGTTATCAGTTAGGTGGAGCCTAGAGAGGTTGCCAACTTACTGGTGGTTACGTTCGCCTGCGCCTTGAGTAAGCAGTCGTCATTCTGCGCTGGTGGCCGACCTATACAATGCCCACCTCCGGATTAAATAACTCTTGCTTGGAAGCGCTGATGCAAAAACTACCCTCTGCCATGGCAAGCGATATCCTTCCTTAAGAAAACGCACGTTTTAGCTCCCTCGACTACGGCGTAGCGGCCTTACAGGAATTCATAATGTGGGATACATAGAAAAGTGCTTCGATCTCGAGGGACTTTTAAGCTTTGAAAACTTCTACGAAATCATGATACACCTATTTGCAGAAACCACAGAGGACAGCCTCCACTGATAAGGGATGAAAACTTTCAGTTTGCGTTCTGATCTTTTTCTAGAACAATTCAATCAAGTAGTCGCAGACTTTTCGTCCAACCTAATATTTGTTTGTTACCAATAAAGTTTTGGTCGGCAGAAGGCAGTGACCTTGGTAGTGGGGACAGCAGCGATACTCAGGTGTTCCACAGCCATTACATGATAAAAAATTCATTCATGATTCTTGTTGTGCAGAACACCTGAAGAGACCCAGGCAAGTTACAGGTTCAGAAGTGGGGAGCGGGCAGTGACAACAAATACGGTGGCCGCCCACAACGACGCCAAGGATTAATGAACAAAAGGAACACGGTGTACGCTCGAACCTTTCTTAACAGCAGGAATTGCACGGAGAAACCGTATCTAGTAATTTCACCTTTCCAACACCTCTGCGTGAGGATTGGATGCATTGCGCGATATAGAGGTGATGTCAATGCGCCGAATGAACTTCCCTTTCCAGATAACTTTGACGAAACGATCTGTTCTAAAAGCATTTTGAAGTCTCCAAACGAATCAGTAGGTGCCCCCCCCCGCCCCCAACCGAAAAGGATCCTGGTGCAACCCCCTCCCAGCTCTGAGTGTTGCAGGATTATATACGTTAACGATTTGCAAAAGCTTGCGGCTGCGTTGAGTTCCCAGCGCAGAGTGGCGCTGGAGCACACACGTTGAGATGGTGGAAATTGTGGAGCTTTTTCTGGGGGTTTTTCCGTCGCGCCCAGCATCACCAAATATTAGCGATCAGCACTGAAGACACGTGCAGCGGGCTAGATCACGAAGATGGATGCAAATATCCAATGTACAATACTGGATGCCAAGTTGTAACCCAGCAGAAAGTGCTTTAAGCAGTCATGCATGAGGTGAGAAACATGCTGTTGTCTGTGTTTTCCAGGCCAACAATTGCCCACACTACTTCAAAGGAGTTTGTCACGAACTCGCTTTCGTCACGGCAACCGGAACCTACGCACGATCCGGACAATGGATCTCCTTTCGACGCATGGTACAATAGGTGTGAAGGCATCATTACACAGGATAGAGCCACCCTCGACGAAGCAGCCAGACCACGGCTCACCATCTCGAAGCTAGGCGTTATTGCATTCGCTCCTTTCACGAACCATATCCTAGAGAGGTAAGCTGCTGAAATATCTCTCGCAGAAACTGTGAAGACACTGCAGGAACTCCTCGGACGCTGTACTTCTCTTTTTGTCGCAACGCCTATAAGAAGACTCAGTGCAACGGCAAAAGTCTTCGCGACTACACAGGAGTGGTGAACAGACGTCATGAGATGGCCGAGTTCGTCACCATCACACCGGAAGAAATGAAATATCTCGTCTGGATTTGAGACATTGCTGCGCATGAATATACCTATATCCGCAGTCATGCACATAGCAAGCCGAAGAGTCCCCGGAACTGCACGCACAGAGAACTCAGCACGTGAATTCGACTACTTCTAGATATCAGACATGACCCCACACTACTAGGAATCACATTCTCCGCGCCAAGGTTATCTGAGGTCAATGCGGTTAATACAAAGCAGTGTCAGAACAAAGAACCGCCTTCACCATGCTTCCGTAATGGAGGACTTCACCGGACAAAAGAAAACCGCTATTATATGAGGAAACCTTGTCACACCTGCAAAAGCGGGACATAAGAAAGGGTTCTGTCAAAATCCAACTAGAAGCCGAATTCAAGAAAAAGCCGCCGACGTCAAACACGGTGGCTGGAGTTTCCTTTACTACCGCCAATGTGGATCCTGTCAGACGCATTTACCGAACTGTGATCAGTGGATGGTCAATGGATCCCCAATCCTTGACCTCCGTGCACCCTTTCTAGACCCCTTCTGCCACTTCCCGCATGGCCATTCAGATCTCCAGCTATCGTGAGGTAGTCATCTTCCCGAACCGATCTTATGGCCTCGTTCAGGGTCAGAGAGAACTCATAGTTTTCCGCCTCGTAGCAACCGGATTGTGGTGCGTACACGGTCAGTACTGTCCAGTACCCCTCATTCGTGTCCATTCTCACTCTCATGATCCGATCACTCATCCTGTTCACAGAGGTCCTTGAGGGACTCTGCCATCGCTTTGGCCACGATTCCGCTTGGTGTTTCCTCCACTGTAGAGGAGTTTGGCACCTTCTCCAATCTCGCGAGGCATTGCATCCTTCCATCGCGTTCCTGAAGGCATAGGATTTGGATACTTAGTAGAACTTTCAAACGACGCGATGGCGTGCCCTGGCAACAACTCTAGGGTGCACCTGCGTGACAGCTGCCAAGAATCTCTGAGATCCCGGTTAGGAAGGAACGAAACGAACCATCTGCGTTGGAAGGGCTTCAACACATGTTTGCGTTTCTCTCGTTTTAATTCGGAGGATATTTTGCACAAAGCCATGCATGTTGCGGCTGTATAGTCAGGAAAACCAGAAGCGGCTCTACTTCCTTTCCAGTGAAAAATCGTTCCTTAAAAAGCAGAGCTCTAGTGATGAAGGATAGGACCCTTGCGTAAAATGCGCACGCGTGCCCACATGTTCCCTGAGGGGGAACAGGAACCTGCAAAGCTGCGAGCAAGTTCGCATGTAAAAAGGTTTTAGCATCTTGTCTGAGAAATCACGAAATCGAGCTGCTTGATATTGGCACAGCAATTATGACCACAATCTACTGTAAGAAAAAACCCCCCCTGCAAAAAGAAAAAACTGGTCGGAGAGGCCTGGGGTCTTCCTACTCTCAAGATAGCTGGAAATATAAGTTCGAGAAGTTGTGATCATTGTTCGTCTGCTCGCGATATGAATAGCTGTTGCACTGTTCGAAGAATGGCTCTCTTACTCACAACCGGTAAAAACAGCTTTGTGAAATTTCGTTTGTAGTGTCGCAGAACTTCACAACCAATCGGATATTATACATTGTTGTAGTCCGAGATCAAATCAGTTCAAAAAATGAGTTCCTAGTGCATGTCCGCTCAACAGCCCACAATGTGTCAATGTCATGGTTACCAAAGGACAATACTCGTCCAAGCCGAAACGACCGAGCTGCATTTTCGCGAAAAGGTTCTGATACGCATCGACAGGGGAATCAGCGGCCGAGCAGGCGAATCGGTGTCTTCGTAAATGAAGCGCGATACATATCAATCCGAAGGGCCGGCGCTTCGCACGAGCCAAATGCTAGCTCCGCCCGCTCACACATTTTTCCCATGGGCGGTGTCAGCGAAATCGATGGAAGGCGGTCGTTTGGTGCGACTATATTGCTGTTTACGTGTTTTGGCGGGTAATGGTGCGGTCTACCAAGCTGGATATCTCGCCCAATCGGTGATCTATAAGGTTTTCGCAATCGATATCCTAGATAAGGCTGTGAAGCGAGTGCTAATGGCGCTCAACAAAGTTCCTAATGATACTTGTTATTAGGAAAAGGCATAATTTCGGAAAAGTTGCCCTAGTCGGAAGACATTGCCCTAACATGTCTTCGCGCCGGCGACAGAATGATCGCGCCAAACGACATACACCCAAATCGATACATCCAGCTCTTTTCACGTTAGGGCCAAACTCGCCGGTGTTCCCGCCAATGCGTTCGACGACTTTCCCAGTGTATGCGAACAGCAGGTGGATAGTTTGAGCCGTCCAAGGTTTTTATAATTCATTGGCCAACGTCCCAGCTTCCTCGCCTTCGTTAGGGCCTGAAGGAGTCCATAACAATAATTGTTCCCCCGAACGCCCCCACAAGAGCACAAGGCTATATCCTAGCCGCGATGACGCGAGATCGACCACCCAAGCTGCAGTACTACTAATAGTGAGCTTAAACCTCCACTCCGCGACCTCGACCTCACTGTAGATAAAAAACCACAGGTCGGCGAAGGGCGTAAATTCACGTGTTATGACTGCACATTCCTCTTTCCTGTTCATCTGGGGGTCTTTTGCTGAAATCCAAAGCGCTTCCAAAATTTTTCGCGCAGCGATCTCAGGCTCCTGTGCCAGGATGGACACGGTATGTTCAATGCATGTTGATGTCTCTGTTCAACAGTCGATCAATATAAAATTTACCAGAGAAAACCCTGTGGAAAACTGGCTGCCCTTCCTCAACATCCAAATCCAATTGATGGGGAACACGATGAGAACCAAATGATATCGCAAGCCGAGCAATAAGAATATACTTGTTCATTATGATTCGGCACACTCAGCAAGGACCATGTAAGCGGTCATTGGCAATGTGTTCAAAACTGCGAGCAAGGTCTCCTATTATGTTGCATTGGAACAAGAATCGCTCGATATAGCACGAAAGATTGATATCTAACGGTTATCCGGGGTCGCGACCACTACGTACTGGATCTTCCAGACAACGCGGGGTCACTAACGTGATATCTTCCGAAAAAGTACCATTTTGTTGGCCGTTTATCTCGGAATAAGTTAGCCGGGCGGTCCGTACGATTCTGCAGAGATGTGGTCTGCAAAAAGACGTTAGGCTGATAAAAAAAAACCCCGAACAACTTGAAACGCCTCCTCGTACGTAATCGTCTTTATGACTATTCGGTACCCCGGAATGTGTGGTTTGCCTCGCCGGTAGAGCAGGTGATTGCATGAAATCGGAGGTGACCTATTCAATTCGCTGCCTGGCATGTGATAGTGAATATGGGGGGGGGGGCCGTCCATTGCGCGTACGGGTTAAAGAACATTTGGAAGGCTTGCGAAGATCACAAGTCCCAAGGCCACTTTGTTGCCAACTGGTTGAGTATCATGGAGATGTCGAGTTCCAAGTAACCGTGGCCATCCTGACACAGGAGCCTGAGATCGCTGCGCGAAAAACCTTGGAAGCCCTTTGGATTTCAGCAAAAGATTAACAGATGAACAGGAAAGAGGAATGTGTAGTCATAACACGTGAACTCGCGCCCTTCACCGACTTCTGTGGTTTCTGATCTACAATGAGGTCGAGGTCGCGGAGTGGAGGTGTAAGCTCAGTATTAGCAGTACTGCAGCTTGGGTGGTCGATCTCGCGTCGCGGCTGAGATCAAGGTAAGCCACCTCACACTCATCGATATACCGTTATGTGGTTTGCTAGGATATCGAAATGGTCTTGTGTTCTTGTGGGAGCGTTCGGGGGAGCAATTTTAAATGTTTTGGACGCCTTCAGGCCCTGACGAAGGCGAGGAAGCCGAAACGTTGGCCAGTAAACTATAAAAATCTTGGACGGCTCAAACTATCCACCTGCTTGAAGATACAACAATGCCAAGATTAAGAAAAGGTCGATCCTGGTGGATTCGAATAGTTTTTTTCCGCCATTTTCCCGATTCGTCAGAATCGCAGACTGTGAACAATGCCTTAATAGGAAACAAAACCATCATTAGAGCAACTCAAAAAATGGTTCTCGAGCTGGTTATCTGTTCCCCACCGAGGGTATATTACACATGAAATTGTTAAGAAAGGCAGAAGAAACCTTCAAACCACCGATTGAGAGTAACAATAATAACTAGAAATGAAAGTCGTATCTATCATTCAACTTACCGATCATCTTCGACTTGGGCCCTGAAGAACAATTCAGCGCCATATCCGTCGAATTCACAATCAAATCGATGCTTAACTGATTCGCTAACAAGTCGCCTCGATAAGTAGGGCTAGAATTGTAAACCCTATATAAACCCCGCACAAAAATACGACGATTAGGCCTGACTTCAGAAAGGAACACACCTTCCCAGATCGTGCGTTGGCTTTGGTGTCTCCCTTACTTGTTGATCCACCGAAGATGCATGAACATGAATTGACGGTGATGACGCAGGCAGCACTGACAAAAAGGGGCTGTGAGCCCCATCGTGACGATAGGCCGTCGGCGGAGGACTGCATTCTAGAGACCATGTTGAACATTGTGATGAACAAACGATGAGATGATCTTCGGTTAGTTCGAAAGACAACACGTGCGCTTGAATCCAAGCGAAAAAGATCACCTGATGATCATATAAGTTGGATTGGAAATATATAGAAAATGATTTGACAATGGTGAAAAATGAGAACGTACCAGAAAGAGGAAGTTTTCTTAAGTGTACTGGCTTCTTTTGAGCTTGGAGTGGCTGGATCGCTTGGGACCACTTTTTGGTCCCGGTAACCTCAAATGTAAAACGTGATATGCGAGCTAAACGGTGTATGAGTTTATCTAGCACTGCTGCATCATAAGGATCCCGATATGAACAATAACATTTAGCACAGAGTTTTTCCGTTGTTTTGTGCATACATTGTTAGGTGGAGTACTTGATCAGTCTGAAAGCGAGCTACGGAACTATTACGGCTACGGAACTCGAGTGAGAAACGAATTTTCGTAAAAGACGTGAATATTGTGGGAGTAAGAGCGCGTTCAGACTTCGCGATCGCGCGATCGGATCGCTTGGATCGCGCTACTGAGGGTGAAATTACTGCGGGAGGGAGTCATGTTCGTTCATGTTGAACTCAACACAAACAAACAACAACAACAGTTCTGGGAAGGGAGCGATACTAATCATCACCATTTCTCACATCACAATGCTGTATGCTGCCTCCAATAGGCAGTTCCAAAAACGATATAAAAGTAAGTTCGACCTTTTTTGATGTCTTTTATTCCGTGTTCATATTCGCAATACTGACGTTTGCAGAAACCGTCGAAAGGAAAGGTTGTGTATAGACCTGGAGGATGGCAGAACAAACAAAGCAAACACAATGTGACAAAAGTAAAGTGAATATCTGGAGGACTGGCAAAATCGGGGAAGGGAGAGAAACAACATCACCCGCTGTTAAAAGTTCTGCGTGTCTTACTTTTGGAACAAGATGTTCAACACTCCGCTTGAACGTACTCAAATGCAAAATTCAGTATAAGAATTAGCATATTGTATATTTAGTACTATTTTACATAGGAAATAATAAATAACTCAAAGATATTTCGAAACGTTCTATAAAATTAGGAGGGCGTTATGTACACAAAGGAAGAAAGAAGGAAAAGAGAGAGAGCAGGATCACAAACATATACGCACATAACCCCCTCCCGTAGTAATTTCACCCTCAGTAGCGCGATCGGATCGCGCAATCCAAGCGTTCCGATCGGATCGCGCGATCCCACAATATTTTTTCAAGTATTAGAAAAAACGAAACTTCTGGAGATATTAAACAGAACAGAGTCATCAAAAAAATGAATGAGAAGAAACAGGCAAAAAGATGCTAGCTATTGTTCCACGGTGCAGAAGAACTCCCTACAGTCGTCATTTAGTGACTTGATTTGGGCGGCAAGGGACGCGACGCGGCTGCGGTGTGTTGCGAGCGCGGCGATCAGCTGTTTCCAGCCTACTTTAGCTGTTTCCTCCCTAGTTTACGCTGTTTTGGCTGCTTTTCCCACAACCTTTTCTTTTTTAGGTTAGTTGTTCTATCGTCTTTATGAAGTATGGACGAGGATGTTTTTTGTTCTGGGCAGTCGATGTTTTTGCGAATTTTTTCACTTTCGTATTTGACCAATTGTCTGCTTAACTGTTCAATTGTACGCAAAAACCAGAAAAATCTCAATCATAATTCTCCTTATGAAGACAAGAAACAACTAATCGTGAGAAAGTGTCAAAACAGCGTAAACTAGGGAAATGGCTAAAATAGGCTGAAAACAGGTTATCGCCACGCTCGCAACACACCGCAGCCGCGTCACCTTGCCGCCCTAAAGCCGCGTTCATACACAGCGCCTCCGTGGCCTCCGCGGACTTTCTTGTGGAGGCGGGGGGCACGCGTCGCGGCCAGTTATTTGGGAAGGCCGGCCATAAATCAATAATTTGGAAACTGGGTTCTGAAGTCGATTTAATCTTATTCTTCACTTTTACTCTTATTCTTTTCTAGTTTTTATTGAACTCTTGTCCTACTCACAATAGTGCGAACGTCTTGAGGGGCAAGGAAGAGGTGGAAGGATAATGTTCCATAGTATTTCATTAGTAATGTTAATATTTCATACGATATTTAATATTTTAAATACTTCATGTTTTCATTCGTATTAAATACATTGAGTTCGTCATTAAAGGCATTCGAAAGTATTACCGAATGGATCCGCCTCCCCTAACCTTCCGAATACTTAGCACTACACAAAAGTTCATGAGAACCGGAAAAAGTACAATAAAGAATAAAGGATAAAGTCATAAAGTCTTCGTCGTTGATCAGTCCCTTTGTGGGATGCGGAACGCATTCTACTTCCATTCAGAATCGTAGTGGCTTACTGAATGCGATGTGGCCTATACAATGACTTGCGGTGGCCAGCCGATGTACAAGTCAGTGTTTTATCCTCCCAGACGAATCTGGTACCAATTTACCGTCCCCGGAGAAAAGAGGGCCTGATTGGCCTGGGCGGGAGTCGACCCGGGATCTGAACCCGGCGCCGCGCGAGCGGTAAGCGCGCCACCTGTCACTCCACCACCTCCGCCTCAAAAGTACAATAAGAACTAGAAAAGAATTAGAATAAAGAGTAATATCAAATCGACTGGATACTATCATGGATGTGACACCCACAAACTACTCCTGTCATCGAAACATGGATGAGGACACGCTTGATTTCATTCAGAAATGTTCAGCTGTTCTTCTAGGCAAAATGAAGACCGCATATGGCGAAAAGGGGTCGCCGAAAGTTTATGAATCTCAACCATGGAATGCGACCATTCAGCTTAAAGACAGCTCCCGCGATAAAAGTCTCTATGGATAGCTGCTTTCCAATTATGAAACAGCAGCTGAGTAATCTCCCAAAGAAGAAAACAGGCAAGAAGCGTTTTCCAGAACAACATAAACAAAATCGCTCCCTCACAGTTACACTTCCCTGCTATCTCTCGTGGCAACCACTAGCTCACAAATCTCTCTATCACATCTCGCAAGTATTGCATATCATCTAGTGCAAAAGAAAGAATACAAAAAGAAAGCAACAAAAAAGCAGAGGAAAAACTCTGGGAAGGAAAAAGGAATTTTATCAACACGGTGTCTGGATTTGTGATTAACGGATAGCGGCACCTTGTGGCGTCGTGGTTTTGCATCACGAAAATTGCGTCACTCGTGTTTTTACGCGTTTCACCTCGCGAAATGGGTTGAATTGAATGTATATACCTCCAGGAGTAAACTGCAATGAAGGAGAGCGAAATTATCCAGGAGCATTAGCAAATGCCCGCCGCGCCCAACTAAGAACAAGACAAGAGAGATTTGGGAGTCCGTGTGAACGGGTGTTACAGTAACCCATTGTCATTGGCGTTACGGGGCAGATGTCAACCGAAATTTCTCTAGCTATGAGAATTAGACGACGAGGCAGTTATGACGTGTGTCGGCCGTCGCCGGGAGATGGGGCGTGTACGCTCGTCGTCTCTCCTCTCCTGCAAAGCCATCTCTCGTAAGGAGAAGACACGTGAAGTGATTTCAGCCACGAGAGGCTAAGATTGAATGAGAACACCTGAGGATTCACTATTTGTCCCTTATTTTTGTGTCAGTGGCGACTGGAGGGTGAATTTCAAGGTCAACAGGATTCAAAACTGAAAAAAAAGGGGAAAGGTGGACGGCCTTCAATAACAGGAATGATAGCTAGTCACGAAAACTACGCAAAGTGATAGGTAGGTAGTTCTCGACATGCGCTCTGAGACGACAATTTACTAAGCATTAGTCAGGAGCAGATCATTCTTATTGTTGGCTAGTATGCACTCCATTGTCTCTGCAAAACCTGAATGAAATGGGAGTGCTATAGAAGGTGCTATAGAAAGGATAACAACTGACTCCTACAGACCGTGTAATCGCGCAGTCCTCGCCCGAAAGTGCTGTGCTTTCCGGGATCGGAAAGATAGCCTGATAAATCATTTACATGCTGCAAGTGTCTCGACAGTCCCTACTTGCAACATCCATGTAGTTCGACAGTTCATACAAGGAATATTCAGAGGGTGTTTCGGAAGCTTTTACAAGCTAAATCTATGGGCAGACAGTCCTCCTGGATACGGTATGAATCATATATCCGCACTACTGTGCCGCAACTTATACTGGTTATAAAGTTCTCTGATAAATGCAGTGTGATGAATCGCATGGCAGAAACAAAACTCTTGGTCAATAGATCACCACCCCCTTTCATTCCCTCCCAGCTTCCGAACGAGAGAACAAATGCGCTGCATTTCCGTTGCTTTTGGCTTTTGGATCTGTAAACGGTTAAAAATGAATCGCATGGTGATTCCCACAATTCTTTTCCAACAAACACCAATTCCACTTCAAGAATAATACTTGAAGTAAGAAGCGAGAAGGAATGTGTTCCTTCTTATAGTTAAGATCTTCTTGATTTCCTATTTTTTTAATGAATGATTAGCATCGGAGAGTGACCTAACACGAGCAAAGCACGCAACAATCACGTGAACTGGTGATCGTCGGCAATCGGGATCGGTGGATGCCTTGCTGTCTACGCTCTAGCCTTTCTAAGCGGAGACGCAGCGTCGACGAGAGTGTGCGAGACGACCGACGACGCGACAAATTGCTGAGTCACCCATTGCCGCGGTTGACAAAAGCCCGTAGACCTTGTCATTGGAGCGCGATGTGGCATTAGAGCATGATCAATAAATCCTTCAAGAAATTGGCCTTCATTAAGGCAGAAACGAAGTGGGACCATTCTTGCACTGTTGATTTGGTTTTTACTACAAATGGAATTTAAAATTGTATTATCAAGAGTGGAATCTGAAGTTGTGTCACCTGGTGCGTAAACGATTCGACTGTGTTGGAAGTGATTTCTACCCAACATGATTCCGAATTTATGTAACTTGAGATGTAACACGCCATGAATACTTGAGGTGATTTTTGTGTCGTAAGATGAGGTTTTAACAACCCTGTTTATTCAGTAATGTAGTTTGGAAAATTGCTTGTGGCGGCTACAGATATGACCGGAGAGAGCTACAAACAATAACAACAAACAATATGTAACTCGAAATAAAAATAACTTTTCTCATCTCTGTTGTGCGTTTATCTAACAGTGATTTTGCATAGGAAGAGCGCAATTCATTAACAATCAGTGCCACTTGCACACAGATTTTACAAATGAGCGAATCCACGATTACCCGTGAGTGGAAGTGGACGTTATGCTAGATCACTAATTATATTAAAGACAGAGG